AACAGGTGTCTACCTCAGGGTCTTTTACCTGCCATTCTATCTGAACAGAATGCTTGGATGGCTTGCTCCTTTATTTCATTTAGGTTTTTAAAAAGTGTTATCTCCTCAAAGAGACTTCCTTGACTACCCTAACTAAAATGGAATCCCCAATGTCCTTACCTTGCTGTTTTTCTTCAATGCTAAGCATTAACTAACAATAACTACCTATTTCTTTATTATTTGTCTCCCACACTAGAATATATGCTCCCTGAGAGACAGGATATTGTTCACTGTCATTTCTTTAGTAAACTGGTATCTGGCATAGAGCAGAGCAGGATTCAAGATAAATATGCTAAACACTGAATAAAAATTCTGGTTTCATTACTAGTTGAGTTTGATATTTCCTTGAATTTCATTTTACATGCCCTGTGACACTATCACCAAAGGTTGAATAATTTAACTTTTCAAAAGTTCCTCTGAGCATCTCCTTTTCTGGACCATTTAGCTTAGCCATATACCTTCTGCCAAGAGAAACATAAAGAGAAGTAAGAGATGGCCCTTGGCTCATGTGACTGGCAGATATGGGGGCCACCTGGCAATACCTGCAAAACTTGGGCTAGTCTCAACACAGCAACCAGGGCAATCCTTTTAAAATAAAAGCCATCCTTTAAAAACATAAGTCAGATTATAAGCCCTCAATGGCTCCCTAGTTCTCTCAGCATATGATCAGTTCTTACAATGGACTATGAGGCCCACTAAGATCTGTCCTGTTACCCCTCTGACCTCATCTTCCACTCTTCCTTGTCCCTATGCTCATTCTACTCCAAGCACACTGGCCTCCTTGTTGTTCCTCAGACTAGGCACACTCCTGCCCTACAGGTCTTTCTCTCTTCTTGAAATGCTATTCACTAAAAATCCACATGGCAAATTCCTTCAAGTCTGCCTCAAACATCATCTTTAAAAAAAAAAAATTTTTTTTCTGGAGTCAGGGTCTCACTCTGTCACCCAGGCTGATGTGCAGCGGCACTATTTTGGCTCACTGCAACCTCTGCCTCCGAGGCTCAAGTGACTCTCCTGCCTCAGCCTCCCAAATAGCTGGTACTACAGGTGCCAAGCCACCACACCCAGCTAATTTTGTTTTTTTATTTTTTGTAAAGATGAGGTCTCACTATGTTGCCTAGGCTGGTCTCAAACTCCTGGGCTTAAGCAATCATCCCACCTTGGCCTCCCAAAATGCTGGGATTATAGGTGTGAGCCACCATGCATGGTCTCAAACATTATATTCCATTTTTTTTTTTTTTTTTTGGAGACAGAGTTTTGCTCTTGTTGCCCAGTTGCCCAGGCCGGAGTGCAATGACACAATCTCAGCTCACTGCAACCTCCGCCTCCTGGGTTCAAGCGATCCTCTTGTCTCAGCCTTCTGAGTAGCTGGGATTACAGGCACCTGCCACCACACCCAGCTAATTTTCTTTTGTATTTTTACTAGAAACATGGTTTCATTATGTTGGCCAGGCTGGTCTTGAACTCCCGACCTTAGGTGATTTGCCCATCTTGGCCTCCCAAAGTGCTGGGATTATAGGCATGAGCCACTGCACCTGGCCCATCATATTCTTAATAAGGCTTGCAGCTTAATCTATTTCAAATTAAAATCCAGTGCTCAATTCTCCCACCATGTTCTACTTTTTCTTTTTTCTGTGGTGCTTTTGCCTTCTAACATAGTATAGATTTTACATATTTATTATGTTTATTGTTTTTCTTCTCACTAAGCTATAAGATCCATGAGGGCAGAAATATTTTTTCTTGTTTTGTTCACTGACTCCAAGCATTTAGAACACCACCTGGCATATAGCATTCACACAAAAAATATTTGTAATTGAAGGTGAAGAATCTTCTGGTCTTTATCCTGGGAGGTTACTTATGTCTGGGCTGCCTCTGAAGGAGAGATTACCATCATGATTTGAAGTTAATCCACAAGTCATGAGGAGAAAATAATACAACACACAGGAAAACAAAACAAAGAAAACTAGACTAGGAGTAAAAAAACTCTGGATTTTGTGCACCAGTTTTTTTTTCTTTTCCTTTTTTTTTTGAGATGGAGTGTCACTTGATCTTGTCGCCCAGGCTGGAGTGCAATGGCACAATCTCAGCTCACTGCAACCTCTGCCTCAGGGGTTCCAGAGATTCTCCTGCCTCAGCCTCCCAAGTAGCTGAGATTATAGGCGTGTGCCACCACACCCAGCTAATTTTTGTATTTTTAGTAGAGACGAGGTTTTGCCATCTTGGCCAGGGTGGTCTCAAACTCCTGACCTCAGGTGATCCACCTGCCTTGGCCTCCCAAAGTGCTGGAATTACAGGTGTTAGCCAGTGCACCGGTTTCATTTTGAATCAATTATATGATTGACGAGGTAGTTAACTTCTTAGTTTCCCAACTGAAAATTAAGAATAAGAATAATGCCTCATGGAGTGGTCAAAAAGATGAAATGAGATAAAGTAAAAATCCAAAAGGTACATGACTACATTTGGAGTTATTTTTATTTCAGAGGTTCTTGAGGGTTTAGAAAGGAAAATTCCTTCCCCTTACCTTACTCTGAAAGTTTTCCATTAGGGCCTAGGGCATAACACAAATACTTCCCTTTAGGCCTTTCCCCTTTGGGGGCTCTAGAAGCAAAGTCATCCAGGAAATGATAATCATGTGCTAGACAGTTTTAGAAATACTAGTATCTTTAATCATTCAGCAAAGAAGCAGTATGGCACATAAGTGAAACTTAAGCAAAAGGAAAATAAACAACTACCAACTAAATTGTTCATTGTAAGCAAAATATCATGGTAAGAGAGAATAATGAGGCCATGTCACTCAGACACCCCAGGGTAGAAAGAGGCTTTGGTAGGTTGTTCTGCCAGCTATTTTTAATAATGGAAGAATAGAGCACAGAATTTAAAAAGGAAACCATATATATATAAAAAATAATATCCAGTAGGCTCTTAGTACATCAGCTGGTCCTTACCTGGCAACGCTAAAGCTCAATCAAAGCAGCCCTCAGTGGAGATGAAAGCATGCTTTGCTTGAATTGAGCCAGTTACCCAGAGAGAAATACAGGTATGCCATAAAAACTTAAAACCAGAGTAAAAGTCACACTGAGAGATACTTTGGTAAGTCTGAAAAAAAATAAACAACACTTGGCTGGGCATGGTGGCTCATGCCTGTAATCCCAGCACTTTGGGAGGCCAAGGCGGGCAGGTCACAATCAGGAGTTTGAGACCAGCCTGGCCAGTATGGTGAGGCCCTGTTTCTACTAAAAATACAAAAATTAGCTGGGCATGGTGGTGGGCACCTGTAGTCCCAGCTACTTGGGAGACTGAGGCAGGAGAATCACTTGAACCCAGGAGGTGGATGTTGCAGTGAGCCGTGTCACTGCACTCCAGCCTGGGCAACAGTGTGAGACTCTGTCTCAAAAAAAAAGAAAAAAAGAAAGAAACAACATTTTTTTTTTTTGAGACGGAGTTTCGCTCTTGTCACCCAGGCTGGAGTGCAATGGTGCGATCTCAGCTCACCGCAACCTCCGCCTCCTGGGTTCAGAATATTCTCCTGCTTCAACCTCCTGAGTAGCTGGGATTACAGGCACGCGCCACCATGCCCAGCTAATGTTTTGTATTTTTAGTAGAGACGGGGTTTCACCATGTTGACCAGGATGGTCTCGATCTCTTGACCTCGTGATCCACCCGCCTCGGCCTCCCAAAGTGCTGGGATTACAGGCGTGAGCCACCGTGCCCGGCCTAGATAATATTTTGAATATATGATATTTAGAAATAGAAGAAAAGATACAAAGGAGAAAATAAAAATAATGCAATTTTAATTTAGGAGGTGACAAAGCTCTGGCTTAATGGAGCTATCTAGAGGTGCTACATGAATCCTTTCCAGAAAAAACCAAAGCCAAAAAAGTTAGAACCTCAACTTGACAACACAAGTTCATCTCAAAGATAATAAACGTTACCCATCAAGAATTGATTCACGGCAACAGTAGAGGTTGTCAAATTTCTGTTTGGTGACTGAGTCATTGACATTCATGGCTGGAACACACAGCTTCCCAGCTTTGGACAGCTGGTACAGCCTAAGGATGAGGGAAGCCGAGAAGAACATAAAACAACGGGACATTACAATCTACCATTGCTTTCATTACAATCTACCATTCCAGGCCCCAGAAATATGCTGATTGGGTGAGCATTAGAGCATGAGACATGACTAATTTTGTCCTATCAGGTGACTACTGAGAAATAAAGAATATCTTTCGAGAGCCTACATATATAGCTTCACAATAAAGATCTTAATTAAAAGTCACATGGGGAAAATCCTTGACCCACCTCTAAATTTTAAGGCCTTCACTGGAGACTATAAAAAGTGGGAGAGTGGCAGCAGGTTGAAGGTTGAAGAATTACTTACTGGGTACAGTGTTTACTAAATCTGCACTTGTCTTCCCACCTGCTGGAACCACAGGTGCATGAGACTACGCCTGGCTGTTTGTTTGTTTGTTTGTTTGAGATGGACTTTCGCTCCATTGCCCAGGCTGGAGTGCAATGGCGCAATCTTGGCTCATCACAACTTCTGCCTCCTGGGTTCAAGTGATTCTCCTGCCTCAGCCTCCTGAGTAGCTGGGATTACAGGCATATGACACCATGCCCAGCTGATTTTGTATTTTTAGTAGAGATGGGGTTTCTCCATGTTGGTCAGGCTGGTCTCAAACTCCTCACCTCAGGTGATCTGCCTGCCTTGGCCTCCCAAAGTGCTGGGATTACAGGCATGAGCCATTGTGCCCAGCTTAAACTGTGTATTAATTTCACTCATCTTTTTAATTATAAAGGAGTAATTTTAAGTACTATTTTAAAAACCACGCTGACATCTTGAATCTACTATAGATATTCAGACGGTCTAAATGGACTTTAAATATATTCGATCATTTACTGCAACAATTTAACATTCAAATATGCTCACATTTGTTTGTTTGTTTGTTTTTCCTTTTTTTTTTGAGACAGAGTCTCACTTTGTCACCCAGGCTAGAGTGCAGTGGTATGATCTTGGCGTACTGCAACCTCTGGCTCCTGAATGCAAGTGATTTTTGTGCCTCAGCTGCCTGAGTAGCTGGGACTACAGTTGTATGCCATCACACCCAGCTAATTTTTCTATTTTTAGTAGAGTCGGGGTTTCACCATGTTGGCCAGGCTGGTCTTAAACTCCTGACCTCAGGTGATCCACCCATCTTGGCCTCCCAAACTGCGCCCGGCCCAAATAGGCTCAAATTTGTAATCTCAATATGTGTATGTATATATAGGAGTTTTATTTTAAATTGGGTCGATTATTGTGTTTTATTCAAAATTCATCCCTTTCTAAGAGTGCAAAGAAATGTTATAACCCACAGTTTTGTACAATCAAAAAGATCATAATGTATTGAAGCAGTGATGGTGGCTGATTCAGAATTGACTTCCCTAAAACTTTTTTTTTTCATACTTTCAGCTCTTTATGGGTGAAATAAATCATAGAAATGATCATAGAAATTGAACTGAAATAATTCCAATTTTACTCAGAGAATTACTGCTCATTTGAGAAGCAGAACGCTCACTAAGTCCTTGCTCTCCATGTAAGAACGTAAGCTGTAAGATGGTTTGTTTGTTTTGTCTACTGCTAGATTCCTAGCACCTAGAGAAGTTCCTGGTTCATTGTAGAAGTCCAATAAATATTTGTTGAATGAATGAACGAATAAATGTGTCCAAAAAGGATAAGAAGTAATTGTTCACAATCACTAGAAAACATGAGGGCTTCAGTTGTTCTCCCACCTGTCCCCTCCTCACTATTTTAGGTTCATTATTTGTGTTGTTAAAAAAAAAGAAGAGAGATCTGGTCCCCTCATAGCAAGCTGAGATCTGGTTACCTCAAAGCAGGCTCTGATTTTTAACATGTGTTTTATAGGTATGTGTTTATAAGATTATATGTCTAGACAATGAAACCAGGTATGCCCATGCCAAATCTTACCTATGAACTCCAGTAACACTCTCCTCTACTATGCCCTTGATTTTCTTAAACATGTTGGGATACTTTTTATAAATCCAGTGGGTAAGATCCCCTCCATCATCCAAGATCTGCAACAGTAAGCATCAATAACATCATTCACTTTGTTGAAGCCTCAAGGCTTCACTGCTTCTCTGGGTCTTGCAGCCCAATCTATTCAGCAATTTACAGATATTTAAAATTTTCCATATGGTTATGCAAAGTAACTTAAAGTCAGAGTAAATGCAATAATCTGCCAAATAGTCATTATATTGAAGTAAAAGACAACAAGAGGAGAAAGGCCAATTGTAATTTGCATAGCCAAATGACCCTCCTCATGACATATCTACTGTATCAAAATATACAGTAACTAACTGAGGATTTTCTTATAGATTAATAACTTGTGGTTAGCTAGGCCACTAGATCTTGAATCTACTATAGATAACTCAGAAAGCCTAATAGACTTTAAATATATTCAGTCAGGCTTAGTTTTTTTTGTTGTTTTTGCTTTTTTGAGACGGAGTCTCACTCTGCTACCCAGGCTGGAGTGCAGTGGCATGATCTTGGTTCACTGCAACCTCCGCCTCCCAGGTTCAAGAGATTCTCCTGTCTCAGCCTCCTGAATAGCTGGAATTACAGGCATGCACCACCACACCCGGCTAATTTTTGCATTTTTAGTAGAGACAGGGTTTCACTACGTTGGTCAGGCTGGTCTCAAACTCCTGACCTCATGATCCACCCTCCTCAGTTTCCCAAAATACTGGGATTACAGTGGTGAGCCACTGTGCCCGTCAAGGCTTAGTTTAAATAAAAGGTTTCAGTTTACGCAGTCTCTTAAGAAAAGAGAAAAATAAATAAATAAATGGTCAGATAATTAAGTCTCCCTCTCAGAACAATGGCTTATAAAACTGTATTCCTTAATCCTTTTCTCCCAAAGTATAGGCACTCTCCCACCCAAAATATCAGGCAGCACTGTAGGGTTTTGCCTAGCACAACCTCACACTCTGTACATATCAAATTAAAAATAACCAGGGAACCGTGCAGCATGTAGGTGTGCAAGCATGCCTCTGAACAGCTCATCTATCACTATTTCAGGTTGGGATTAAAGATAAACACAATGCTGTGCCCACTGGAGCTTTCATTAGCAGAGAAAAGCTTTTGAATTATAAAGCTAAAGAAAAATCAACTTAAAACACTATCAGGCACGAGGCTGTGACACTTCAGCCCTTCACTGGACTGTCAGAAGTGTTTAGCAGGACTTTGCAAATTGTTACACTCATCCTCCTGGAAAGTCCCACAGAACTGAATTGTCCTCTGCTGACACGCACTCATCTTGCAGTCTCATCAATTATCAACTCTACTATAAGTGCCAAAACTGCCATCCTGGACCTCAGAGTACACAAAATCCCCAACCTCATGTCTACCACCTGATCTCTTTTTTGCTTTTGCTCTTGCTGTTGATCTATTTTCTCTTTTTCTTCTTCTTCTTCCTCTTATTTATTTATTTATTTTTTTTGTTTTGAGATGGAGTCTCACTCTGTTGCTCAGGCTGGAGTGCAATGGTGCGATCTTGGCTCACTACAACCTCTGCCTCCAGGTTCGAGTGATTCTACTGCTTCAGCCTCCCCAGTAGCTGGGACTACAGGCGCCCACCACCATGTCCAGCTAATTTTTGTATTTTCAGTAGAGACAAGGTTTCACTACATTGGCCAGGCTGGCCTGGAACTCCTGACCTCATGATCCGCCTGCCTCGGCCTCCCAAACTGCTGGGATTACAGGTGTGAGCCACTGCACCCGGCCTATTGATCTATTTTCTCTCACTCAATCAAACCTTGCTTGACAACTGGGATCCAAGGTAGGACTCTCATCAGAGCTCTTGTACTTGCTCCATACTACAAGTAGAAACCCCCAGAACAGTTCCCCCAAGAAAGCAAATGGCTCTTCTGAGTTTCTCTCTCCCTTTCTCCATGTATGGAATCCCTCATGAAGTTTTCCCTTGCCACAGAAAAGATAAAAGACAAAAGAGATTGAACAACCGGAAACTGTTTTAAGTCTCCCTATTCTCATCCACTTTTCCCTTTTAATGCACATATGACAAAGGCAAGCAGTTAGTCTCTAAGATTTATTTAATGAATGCTGCCCATAATTCTCACCATGTAAATCTACTGCAGAAAATTCTTGTCATCAGGAAATCTTCCTGAGGTTGGGAAGCAGGGAAAAATACTAAATCTTGACAGAATCCAAAGAGGTATGGGTCCTGTTTTCTGGGTGACAACTGTTTTTGTCCTTGTCTTACTTTCTTTAGTAACCTTCCTAGCAGTTTGTGCTCGTTCTAAAGTTTGTAAAAGTTCTCCAGGTACAATCCCAATGTCCTCCCTGGGTTCCTGACTTTAAAAATCAATGTTTTATTCCCAGGAGAAAACCCTGGCATATCTTCTTTAACATCTGCCAGTCACACTCCCTCTTGTCACTATTAAAACTGTTGGAATGAGCTGACTCATCTTACAGCCACTGTCAATTCTGCTCCCCCACCCCTTCAGGATATGAAGACTCTAACCCACTTCCTCAAACAAGCCTGGTGCAATGTGACCTGGATCACAGAATTCAGAAAGAAGCTACTTCTCTGCCATGCACCAAGTGAGGCCTGCTCCGCAGTCTTCAGCAGTAAGCAATGGTTGGACTACAGCTTCAGGGATTCTTTTCTCAGTACATTCCCTAATTTCTGTCCCCTCCCCTGACTAATATGCAGAATTATTTGCAAAACAGAAGTACCTCATACTCTGTATGCAGCCTTTTTGGAAAGACAGGGGGACATGGTCTCACTCTCCCACCCAGGCTGGATTGCAGTGGTGTGATCTCGGCTCACTGCAACCTCCACCTCCTGGGCTCAAGTGATCCTCTCACCTCAGCCTCCCGAGTAGCTGGGACTACAACTATAGTCCAACATGCCAACATGCCTGGCTGATTTTTGTATTTTTTTATAGAGACAGGGTCTCTCTTTTTTGCCCAGGCTGGTCTCGAACTTCTAGGCTGAAGGAATCCACCTGCCTTGGCCTCTCAAAGTGCTGGGATTACAGGCCACCATACACAGCCCTTTGTGTAGCTTTTTGCCACTTTGCAAATCTAATGTGCTATCAGGCTTCAAGACTTGATCTTCTAAAAAATGAAACAAAAATAAAAATGAAGCAAAAATTAAAACCCCCAAACTTCACCTGGTTGTCTTATTTAACATGGGGAATGAATATAAAGAGAAGAAATTTGAACTTGGAAGCTCTTCAGGTTTACTATAAATTCATTATATGAACTCTATTATTTTTACTTTTCTAGTCCTGACTAACATGACAAGTATATGGATTCTAGAGAGAAGATTAAATATCTTGAGAGCTCTGGGGTTTTTCGTTTGTTGGGGTTATTTGGTTGTTGTAAGAGGTGGGGAGTAGGCAGTAGCAGGGGAAGGAAACTCATTCCTCTTGCTTTTTAACCGGCCAGTTGTGAATCCTGGGCAGTGCTTTAATGTTTCTAATGAATATAAATGCTTCCAACATTAGAACCAACAAATAAGGCACTTTGGGTTATAAGAGCTTCAACAGTCTTAGGGTATCCAAAGCATAAGAATTTAGTTCTGCTGGAAACCCAGGCATGTCAGATAGAAATGAAGCCATTTTCCTTCCTTCTTGTTGAAAAACCCTCTCCTAGGCCATAGCCTCCTCCCATCCCCAGTCCTGACCCCTACAGAATTGTGTTAGCAGAAATCTGACCCACCATGTTTGGCTGCCAGCCCTCCACATTCACACATCTATCAATGCACCACCAAAAGTCATCTTCTGACTCTCCCTTCCAGGCAAAGACAGGAAATCCTGAGAAAAAAGGAACAAAGAGAAACCATTAAAGACCAGAAAAAGGCCGACCCCCAAACTTTGGTGAGAAGATTCCAGTTTTTCCTAATTCCCAACTCTCTCATTCTGCTATATTCTTTGGATTGACTCTCTTCACTGATTGGTATTGCGTTTAGCCCCTTTATCCATTCTTTGTCTTTGAGGGTCCTTCTGCTCTTATTAGCCCTCATAGCCCAATGAGGCCAAGCAGAATGGACAAAAGTGTGACGGTTGTTTAAAATATGACGAGAAGGGGCTAGGTGCGATGGCTCACGGCTGTAATCCCAGCACTTTGGGAGGCTGAAGCGGGCAGATCACCCGAGGTCAGGAGTTCGAGGCCACCCTGGCCAACATGGTGAAACCCTGTCTCTACCAAAAATACAAAAATTAGCTGGGCATGGTGGTGCGTACCTGTAATCTCAGCTACCTGGGAGGCTGAGGCAGGAAAATAGCTTGAACCTAGGAGGCACAGGTTGCAGTGAGCCAAGATCGTGCCACTGCACTCCAGCCTGGGCGACAGAGTGAGACTTTGTCTTAAAAAAAAGAAAAAAGAAAAAAAAGTGACTAGAGGGAAAACAAAAACCAGAAACAGGTACTTGTTGATCCACTCAAACTGGCATTCTCACCATTTCCCAATTATACTTTAATTTTTCTTGCTTCTATACTTTAGTCATCCCACCCTCTTATTAAGAAAAAAACCTTTACATGTTTCTCCATTTGCTAAAATGTTACTATACTTCATAGCCTAGTTAAGTGTCATGTTCCTAATTAACTCAGCTGGAAATGAGCTCTCAAGGAATCTGAACTTTTCTTTTTTGTTTTTTTGAGACGGAGTCTCCCTCTGTTGCCCAGGATGGAATGTGGTGGCACAATCTTGGCTTACTACAACCTCCGTCTCCTGGGGTTTTTTTGTATTTTTAGTAGAGACACGGTTTTACCATGCTGGCCAGGCTAGTCTTGAACTCTTGACCTCAGGTGATCCACCCGCCTTGGCCTCCCAAAGTGGGAATCTGAACTTTTCGCAGCCTCTTGTTTGTGTAGTGAATATGGATTTATAATCTGTCATGGCATTTAACATACATGTCCTTGTATCACCATTGTTTATATATGTATATTATCTCCTTAACCACAATATAAGATTCTGAGGGTAACATTGTCTTATTTGCCCTTATAGTTCTTAGAGTAGGTCGGTAAAAAAAGAAATGGGCTGGGCATGGTGGCTCACACCTGTAGTCCCAGCACTTTGGGATGATGAGGTGGGAAGATCACTTGAGGCTGGCTGTTGGAGACTAGCCTGAGTAACAAAGCAAGATCCTATGCCTTAAAAAGTTTTTTAAATTTGCTGGGCATGGTAGCATGTGGCTGAAGTCCCAGCTACTCAGCAGATAGTGGGAGGATCATCAGTGCCTAGGAATTGAAGGATGCAGTGAAACATGATTGCAGCACTGCTGCACTCTAACCTGGGTGACAGAGCAAGACCCTGTCTCTAGTTAAAAAAAAAAAAGGAGGCTGGGCTGGTGGCTCATGCCTGTAATCCCAGCAGTCTGGGAGGCTGAGGCAGGCGGATCACAAGGTCAGGAAATTGAGACCATCCTGGCCAACATGGTGAAACCCCGTCTCTACTAAAAATAGAAAAAATTAGCTGGGCGTGATGGCATGTGTCTTTAATCCCAGCTACTCAGGAGGCTGAGGCAGGAGAATCACTTGAACTAGGGAGTCGGACGTTGTAGTGAGCTGAGAATGCGCCACTGCACTCCAGCCTGGACGACAGAGAGAGACTCTGTTTCAAAAAAAAAGGAAAGAAATGAATGCATATGTACAATTCACTGAGCTACAGATTTAGTATTTGTATTAATAAAGTATTAAATATTTTTCTATCATATATACAGTGATAAAATTTTGTAAATAAATAAATAAAAATGAAAGAACAAATAAAATGCTGAGAGTGCTAGCTGTACTGCCAAGGAGTAAAGGCAAGAGGCTAGCAAAGTCCAAATTTCTCTATTTCTTTTGTCCATCAAGTACCACTGGATGTTGTGATCAAATATTAACCTGCCAGGTCAAGTCCTCTTTACGCCTGAAGCAGAAACACCAAAAATTAAGTCAGGGCAAATTACTTGCTGGAAAACCAACAGGGTCACAAAACTATGGCTGAAGCATTTTCTCCTGTAATCCATGTTACCTCCGTGAGTAGTGTTCACTAGTGCTCTGCTATTGGTGAATTAGTGAGTCAAAACAAAGCATTAACAATGGAATATTAGACATAGGTAGATATTTGTCAGTTGTAAAAAGGCAAAGTTAACTAGATCATATTTGACAAGTGAAGGCCAGAAAAAGAGCAAATTCATCAAGAATCAAGATCCATTTCTTCCAAGATAGTTCTTTTACTGGCAACCTTCCTTAAAAATTTATACTGAAACAACAGGACTTTTTGGAGACTTACTTTAGCCAAAGGCACAGAGAACAAAATCTTACCACTTTCTGCCAGAGCAGCAGCCACTTCATTGAGAGTGGAATAGATGTTGCAGGCAGCCCATCGGCACTGGGCCCCCAGAGCACCCAGAGTTTCCATAAGCACCTGTATTAACGACAAAGCAGGCAATGAGCAAGCCTGGGCCAAACACCTAGTCAAGCAAATAAAGTTCATATATTTCACAATGAGAAAATGCAATGGGAATAACTTAGGCCAGTGATTTTCAAATTGTGCTTTACAGAATCTCTTCAGTATTCTAAGAAGACAACAGTTGGGGGAAGCCATGGAAAGAGGGAAGTTCCCGCTGACTCTATGTTTTTATCAATTTAAATTGGGCCTCCCCATAAGATTGAACAAACCAAGGCAATGACTTCAGAGCCAAAATTTTTCTTTTTTTTTGAGTTGGAGTCTTGCTCTGTTGACCTGGCTATAGTGCAATGGTGTGATCTTGGCTCACTGCAACCTGTGCCTCCCGGGTTCAAGTGATTCTCCTGCCTCAGCCTCCCAAGTAGCTGGGGTTACAGGTGCCTGCCACCATGCCCAGCTAATTTTTGCATTTTTAGTAGAGACAGGTTTCACCATGTTGGTCGGGCTGGTCGAACTCTGACCTTATGATCCGCCTGCCTCAGCCTCCCAAAATGCTGCAATTACAGGCATGAGCCACTGTGCCTGGCCATAAACTTTTCTTAAAAAACACAGATTTGGGCCGGGCGCGGTGGCTCACGCCTGTAATCCCAGCACTTTGGGAGGCCGAGGAGGGTGGATCACGAGGTCAAGAGATCGAGACCATCCTGGTCAACATGGTGAAACCCCGTCTCTACTAAAACTACAAAAAATCAGCTGGGCATGGTGGCGCGTGCCTGTAATCCCAGCTACTCAGGAGGCTGAGGCAGGAGAATTGCCTGAACCCAGGAGGCGGAGGTTGTGGAGAGCCGAGATCGCGCCATTGCACTCCAGCCTGGGTAACAAGAGCGAAACTCCGTCTCAAAAAAAAAAAAACAAACACAGATTTACAGTTCTGCTTCTGCTTAAAATACAGAAAGCTACAAGAGAAGCTCCCATCTTAACAACACGAAAAAGCTGGGTAGCTACTAGGAAGGCTGAGGTGGGAGGACTGCTTGATCCTGGGAGATAGAGGCTGTAGTAAGTCATGAGTGTGCCACTGCACTCCAGCCTGGAGAACAGAGAGAGACCCTGTCTCCAAAAAACCATGCACACGGTCAGGCGCAGTGGCTCATGCCTGTAATGCCCCTACTTTGGGAGGCTGATGCGGGTGGTTCACCTGAGGTCAGTAGTTCAAGATCAGCCTGGCCAACATGGTGAAACCCCATCTCTACTAAAAATACAAAAAAATTAGCCAGGTGTGGTGGTGCACACCTGTAATCCCAGCTATTTGGAAGGCTGAGGCAGGAGAATGGCTTGAAGCTGGGAGGTTGTGATGAGCTGAGATTACACCATTGCACTCCAGCCTGGACAACAAGAGTGAAGCTCCTTCTCAAAAACAAACAAACACACATACACACCAAAAAACCCCAAAGCTGGGTAATCTACAAAGCCAAACTTTTTTGAGCCCATCAAAGAGCTGAGGTCATAAAGCACCCAAGTGAACAGCCCTCCAAAGAGTGACAAATCCTTTTAAAGAGAAGGGGAAGACTGTTTTACCTTTGGCAATGTATGGGAGGAGGAAGTGGCTGCCACAGATAAGGATAAGAAAAAATCAGCTAAATTTCTGAATAATTAGGAAAGGCTGAGTGTGGGAAAGTGTGTCAATGTGGAATTTTTTGAAGCTCCAAGCACAAGTAGATTTCCCGTTCACATGCAGGCTGTTTTCCAGAGGCTTCCACTCAGTGCTCAGAAGAAAGACTGGGGCATGGAGCTAACTAGCTATGCTCAGAAACAGACATGAAACCTGGGCACTTCCCTACACTCTTCTCTAATAAGAAGCAAAAGCCTCAACCTGCAGAAGAGCAGGAATTGGGGCTGCAATCAGGGACCTGGCAAAGATCCACTGTTTCTTGAGGAAGGCAGAAGCAAAAACTCTCTGCCTCTGAGAGAGGCACAGGAAAACCTCTTGGGCCCAGGACAGTTCACTGATACAAAGTAAGGATCTGCTATCTCACCAGCTCTCCAGGAAGGGCAGGAAAATATGTCTTGCTCAAGACTCACCACAGATGCAAGCCAAAGTTTGGCTGCTACAGATAGGAGAGGCAGGAATATTGAGAAAGCCCTGCCCTCACAGAGGTGTGCCTAAGACTGAGACTGCACTAGAGATCCAAGAACCCCACTTGCCCTCACCGTGAGCTTTGCCCCAGGAAACAAGGAGCAGCAGTCTGGTGCAGCAGATGGAGCAGGTACTTGAAAAGAGGACACTTTTGTGGCACGCATGTGCAGAAGTAGCTGAAAGCTGAGGGTAAAGCAGAAGCACTGAGGAATGTCCTCTAGTAACCTCAAATCACTAGGTTATAGCAGTCCACTGCTGCAGGAATTTGAAGCCTTTGTTGGTATACAACAAACTCTAAATCCAGCTCAACTCACGACTATAATGAAAACTAATATACTACCACTCAATCAAAAATGTCAGGACATATAAAAAGTGAAAAAAAAAAAACACCCCACTGTCAGGAAATAAGTAAACAATAGAGGCAGGCTCTGGGATGAGCCAGATGTTTGATCAGACAGGAGCTTTAGAATAACTATGATTAATATGTTTATGTTATTTATTTTTATTTTTTTAGAAACAGGCTCTTGCTACTTTTCCCAGGCTGGAACAATATGTTTATGTTAAAGGATCTAGTTGAGAAAGACAGACAACATCCATGAATAGATAGAAAATTTCAGCAGAGATGGAAACTATAAAAAGTCAAATACAGGCCAGGTGTGGAAGCTCACACCTGTAATCCTGGCACTTTGGGAGGCCGAGGTGGGCGGATCACCTGAGGTCAGGGGTTTGAGATCAGCCTGATCAACGTGGAGAAACCCTGTATCTACTAAAAATACAAAATTTAGCTGAGCGTGGTGGTGCATGCCTATAATCCCAGCTACTTGGGAAACGGAGCCAAGAGATCGTTTGAACCCAGGAGGCAGAAGTTGCAATGAGCCGAGATCACGCCATTGCACTCCAGCCTGGGCAACAACAGCAAAACTCCATCTCAAAAAAAAAAAAAAAAAAAATGTCAAATACAAATGCCAGAAGAAAAAGAAAAGTCAGATTAAATGTTCCTTCAGGCCGGGCGCGGTGGCTCAAGCCTGTAATCCCAGCACTTTGGGAGGCCGAGGCGGGTGGATCACGAGGTCAAGAGATCGAGACCATCCTGGTCAGCATGGTGAAACCCCATCTCTACTAAAAATGCAAAAAATTAGCTGGGCATGGTGGCGCGTGCCTGTAATCCCAGCTACTCTGGAGGCTGAGGCAGGAGAATTGCCTGAACCCAGGAGGCGGAGGTTGCGGTGAGCCGAGATCGCACCATTGCACTCCAGCCTGGGTAACAAGAGCAAAACTCCGTCCCAAAAAAAAAAAAAAAAAAAATGTTCCTTCAACAAATTTATCATCAGACTAGACACATTCAAAGACAGAATCAGTGAACCTGAAGATAGACCAATAAAAATTGCTGAACTGAGCCAGGCACAGTGGCTCATGCCTGTAACCCCTGCACTTTGGGAGGCTGAGGCAGGAGGCTGCTTGAGGCCAGGAGTTTGAGACCAGCCTGGGCATCACAGCAAGATCTCATCTCTATATAAAATTTAAAAAATTAGTTGGGCATGGTGGTACATGCCTTAGTTCCAGTTACTTGGGAGGCTGGGGCAGGAGGATCACTTGAGCCCAGGAGTTTGAGGCTGCACTGAGCTATGATCGTACCACTGCACTCCAGCCTGGGTGACACAGTGAGACCCTACTCAACAAATCAAAGCAACGACAACAAAAGAAATTACTGAACTGAAATACAAAAAGAAAAAGACTGGCAGAAAATAAGTAGAACAGAATGCTCAAACTCTATGGGATCTATTTGGTAATCTATGGATTCTTCCCCTCTTTGCCTTTTGGAACTCCAGTTACATGTATGGAGAGGAAAAAAAGAGGATCTGGGAACAATGAGATTTCAAAGCAAAGAGCACATTAGTGCCCAGATCCACTAAAAGGAGCCAGGCATTCTGGGAGAAATGGTTGATTCCAAGAGTAGGACATGCAATGTTCAAGATAAGCTTAGATGATCTTGTACCAAGAGCAAGGAAATGTTCAAAGAATGAAAGGGGTATGTCAAAAGACAAGTCACAGAAGCCACGCTGAGGAGGCTCTCCCTGGTCAAATCGAGAACAAGATGATCATGCAAATAAGTAATAATAGTAATGGATTATAACCTATTAAATAAAACAGGAAACAATGATTCCATACAAATAAAAATAATGAATAAATCAAAGATGAAGAATGAGATATTTATAGTTTCAGAGTACTACCCCACATAAACATATTAATTTTATTTTTATTTATTTATTTTTGAGACAGGGTCTCACTCTGTCAACCAGGCTGCAGTGCAGTGCAATCTCAGCTCACTGCAATCTCTACCTTCTGGGCACATGTCACCATACCTGGCTAACTTTTATAAGTTTTTGTAGAAATGGAGTTTCACTCTGTTGCCTAGGCTAGTCTTGAACTCCCGGGCTCAAGTAATCTGCCAGTCTTGGCCTCCCAAAGTGCTGGGATTACAGGCATGATCGAGCCCTGCCTAAAAAACATATTAATTATAACTTTTACAGAGGAAAATCCTGGCAGATACCGCCTCAATCAAGGGATCAAAGAGAACATCATCAGTTCTGGGACAAACTGAAATCATGTGCCACCTGATAGGATGCATCACTTCTTTGTATTCCCACCACAGATGCACAGCCTGAATCTCATAATGAGGAAGCACTAGAAAAATCCAAATTGAGGACATTCTACAAAATAATCCATCTGCAATCTTCAAAAGTGTCAAAGTCATGAAAATCAAAGAAAGACTGAGAAACTGTTCTGTACTAATGAAGATTAAAGAGACACAACAATCAAATGTGACATATAAGTACGGACTGGATTCTTTTGTTAGAAAAATATTATCAGAACAACAAGTGAAACTCCAGTGGGATCTAAACATTGAATGGTAGTAATGAATCAAATGTTAATTTTCTACTTCTGATGGTTATACTGGTTGTACAGGAAAATGTCCTTGTTTGTAGAAAAGATACACTAAAGTATTTGGGGGTTGCTATGGTCTGAATGTATGTTCTCCTCCCCCAGAGTCATATGTTAAAACCTAACCCCCTAAGTGATGGCATTGAAAGGAGATTATGGAAGAGGTAATTAGACATGAGAATTCTGCCCTCACGAATGGGATTAGTGCATTTATAAAACAGGCCTGAGGAAGCTTGCTTGCCCCTTTGGCCATGTGAGGACACATAGAAAGCGCCATCTATGAGGAACAGGCCCTCACCAGATACTGAATCTATCGGTGCCTTGATCTTGGGCTTCCCAGCCTCCTGAACTGCGAACAATAAATACCATTATTTTTGAATTACCCAGTCTATTTTGTTATAGCAGCCCATATCAACTAAGACAAAGGTGAAAGATAATTAGGTTGGGAAACAAAGCAAAATTTCCTTGTAGTTATTTTTTTAAAGGAAAAAAAATGTGGGGTGGAAACAGTAAAATAATATTAAAATTGGTAAGCCAATTGTGATTAATCCATTCAGGAAAAAATAGAAAAGGAACCATGAAGGGTGGTAATGCTCAGTGAGCCTAAGGGTGAAAAACAAACTTGATGTATTCAGCAACCTGAGACAGTAGAGAAGCACTTACTATTTTAAGCTACCACACTGAAGTCTCATGTCACTGACTGAGCAGGCCAAAAAAGATTGAAGAGTGTTTCTGTCTCGACTCATTAGTCTGTAGCTCCAAACAGATAGATTTTCAATTTAATATATTCATTTTGGGCAGCCAAAGTACTTTTTTCCTTAGAGAACATATAACCCAGAAAACTCTCATAGTGAGGATGCTAGCAGTAACTGTCTGTACCTTGTGGAACCTTTAATGTTCTTAATCAGGAATGTGACCACATAAGTGTTGTGCTTTGGGAGAGACAATCTTCGGAAAGCTGATCTAGTCACACAGATGACCTGGATCTTATGAACCCCATAAAAGATTCCAGACCATTGCTCAATATACCAGTTTCCCTATAGTGGTCTCATTATGGTTAGCAACTCCATATATATTACATCTCTGATGATAAAAGAGGAGATTTAGAAATTTGTGGGGGTATTTTCGGTTGTCACAATAATTGGAAGGGGAGTGTGACTGGCATTTAGTGGGCAGGACCAGGAATCTGGACATTTTGAAAGTGCAAGACAGTCAACAAAAAGCTGTGCCGCAGCTGATAAAATTTTCAAATATCCCAATGAAAGTTCACATGGGAAAAAAACCTATTTATAATTATCTGAGTTTAGAAACTAGTTCCACTTTACAAATTAACAAAAAGTAGTTTTGTAGTTTTAATACAAAACAATAGTTTTTCCAGGAATGTAACAGCTATGTAAATCAAGAGAAAACTCATATTTTTTATTGTTCTTGTTGTTCAGAAGTTTACAAAAAGTTGTTTACTATTTCAGAAAATCATATAATTTGGCAATGCTGCTGTGATACTCTGGAATCAATAACATTTCTTTCTATCTTCAAATAATACTATTTGAAACAATACTATGAACTAGTACAAATATCTGACTATTCTACTAGAGTTGTCCCCAAATATTTACATATTGAAATACATATTATTTTAAGTATTATACTTTCTTTTTATTCCTCCTTCATATTTCGGTTAAGATTTTATATTGATTTTTTAAAAGATATGTACCTAGACATGTTACATCTGAATTTCATTTCAGGATAATTCAGGGATACTGTAAAAAAAAAAGTTTTTTAATAAAAAGGGGACATTAAACCTGATGAGCGTAAGGTAGGAATCACTGGTGTAGGCAAATCATGGTAATCCTGTCCCCTGGCTAGGACTGGTGGAGCACAGGCATGTGATCCGGTCCTACGATGGAGTATCCTGGAGGGACTTCTCTTGAGCAAGGAAGAAATGGTCCCTCTTTGTTTTCATGTCAGTGTGTGATGACTAGAATAGTTGTAAGCAACTTGCTATCAGCCTGAGAGTGAAGTAAGCACACTGAGGAGGCAGCTCCAAGAGAATCAGAGAGGTGAAGCTGGAGCCCTGAGATCCTGCATCTGAAGTCTGCCTTCCCTTTGGACTTTCTGCTGTGTACTGTGATAAATTCCCTTATGTGACATAACTTTTATTACAGTCTATTGTTATAATTGCTCTCTTTTATTCTGAGTTACTGTTATTCATTTCTTTTAGTGCCTAATTTATAGCTGCCTCTCAGTATCCTCAGGGGATTGATTCCAGGACTCCCATGATACCAAAATCTGAGGATACTCAAGTCCCTTATATAAAATGATGCAATTTTTGCATATAACCTGTGCACATCCTTCTCTCTGTGTGTGTGTGTGTGTGTGTGTGTGTGTGTGTGTGTATTTGAGACAGCGTTTCACTCTTGTTGCCCAGGCTGGAGTGCAATGGCATGATCTCAGCTCACTGCAAACTCTGCCTCCTGGGTTCAAGAGATTCTCTTGCCTCAGCCTCCTGAGTAGTTGGGACTACAGGCATGCACCACCACACCAGCTAATTTTGTATTTTTAGTAGAAACAGGATTTCTCCATGTTGGTCAGACTGGTGTCAAACTCCCGACCTCAGGTGATCCGCCCACCTCAACCTCTCAAAGTGCTGGGATTACAGGTATGAGCCACTGTGCCCAGCCCCTTCTGTATATTTTAAAGCATCTCTAGGTTATTTATAATACCTAACATAGTATAAATGCTATGTAAATCGTTGTTATATTTCTTATCTGTTTTTTTATTGTTGTATTATTTTATTTTCTGAATATTTTGATCTGCAATTGGTCAAATCCTCAGGAAGGATTGGTGTACATGGAGGCCCAATTGCATAAATTAAACTTAATCATAGGTATATATGTATAGGAAAAAACATAGTATCCATAGGGTTAGGTACTGTCTAAAATTTCAGGTGTCCACTGGGGGTCTTGAAACTTATCCCCCACAGACAAGGTGGGGAGACTATTGTATATTGAAGTTAAAATCTTGACTCTGTGATTTCTAGCTATATAACCTTAAACAAATATCTTAAGTCCTCTGAGCCTCAGCTTCTTCGTTTACAAAATGGAAACAATACCTGCTTTATATGGCCATTATAAGGATTAATGAGCTAATACTTGTTAAGCTCTTAACTCAGTGCTTGGCATGTTGTAAGCTTTCAGTAGCTCGTGGCTATTATTAACTATTGTTATTAAAAGGAGGAAGGAAAAGAACTCACAGCAGTTTGAGCAGTGATGTGTGTGCAACCCACGATTTTGGCTCCAGCCAAAGGCTTTTCTCCTTGAGCTCTCTTCCTCAAAGCCATCAGTGCAGGCATTTCTGGAAAGGCCCAATATATAAACAGCAATATTAAAGAAGAGGGGATAAGAGATAAAAGAACAAACAGAAAAACTTTCTTTCTTAAGCTAAGGTCCTTCCCCTCAAGGGATCAAGACATTAAACCTGAATTTTCCTTTATAAAAAACTTTGAGAGACAAACATTTTAGGGTTCTGATTCTCTATATTCCAGTCATTATCCAGTCTCTCTCCTTTTTTTTTTTTTTTTTTTTTTTTTTTTTTTTTTTTTTTTTTTTTTTTTTTTTTTTTTTTTTTAATGATTTTTGTTGTTGTTGTTGAGATGAAGTCTCACTGTTGTTGCCCAGGTGGGAGTGCAATGGCACGATCTGAGCTCACTACAACTTCTGCCTCCTGGGTTCAAGCGATTCTCCTACCTCAGACTCCCAAGTAGCTGGGATTACAAGTGTGTACCACCATGCCCAGCTAATTTTTATATTTTTAGTAGAGATGGGGTTTCGCCATGTTAGCCAGACTGGTCTTGAACTCCTGACCTCATGTGACCCGCCTGCCTCAGCCTCCCAAAGTGCTGGGATTACAGGTGTGAGCCACTGTGCCTGGCCTCTCTCTCTCTTTTTTTTTTTTTTTTAAATATAGGGTTCCTTGCAGACTTGTCAGAGTTCCTCAGTGTTTCCTGTGTTCATATTTATTTTGTTATAAGTATTCTTCATTATCACATAGAAATTTCACAAGCTACCAGACCCCAGACATAAAAAGGGATTAATATGGACAAAAAGACACAGGCAGGCTGGGAAGGAAAATGTGCTTGTTTTCTTTACCTTGTTCAGCAATTTCAATTTCTCTTCGTCCAAACTCTGCTTGTTTGATGTTCTTGACACAGAAGTCACTGCTTCCCTTAGAGTTCTTTTGCTGCTTGTCCCTGGGGGATGTCTCATCATCAGAGCTATCTGTATATGAAGCCGCTGGAATGACAGAATAAAAAACTCTCAGGGGGAAAAAATGCTTCCTCTAAAATTCTGGACCATGGAGCGAACTGAGGTTTCTCTAGCCATCTAGCAACATATAAATTTTTTACCTCTGGTAAGCACCTACATGCTATACACAGGCCAGAAGAGGGAAGATGAAAGAGACTGCCAAAGACATTCTCCCTGGATAGCCTTAACTTGAAATCTAGGGCTAACTTTATCTTCAGAACATGCAGAGGTACTTGAATATGCAAAAAGAGAGAGGTTACACCACAGTAGCATTAGGTTAAAATCATGGCCATTAACCTATGGGTTTTGGGGATTCTAGCTACTCTGCTCTGTGTGCTGCTTAAGTATTTGATATAATTTGTGTTTTAGTGAAATTACTGAATAGATAAGACCTAGAAAACAAGGAACCCACGGGAAAGTAATTAAGAACCACACAAAAAGTATTTGTCTGACATAACAGAGCTTTCTTTTTTAAGACTGACTCTGATGAGGCTGAATTGTGCCTGCAGACCCAATTATACATCGACAATGAAGTATTCAATGTGCTCTCCCTTCTTGCTGGCCTCAGTGGGTCCTGTGTTATGCATTTTAGGCTCTCAAAAAAGTAAATAAATCCTCTTTTGGTACAAAAAAATGCTCTGATAACGAATCCATTTAGCAACATACCCTAGAGTGTGAAAGGTCTAAAACTTTTTATCGTGGCTAACAGGCAGCTGCTGCTATTGCTATTCACATGCTTAGCTGAGGTCTTTTTAGTCTTCACAGAGTTCTGTAGTTGCTAACCATTTGCTAGATTATGTGAAGCACTGTCCTTCCCTGATTTGTGTTTGAGTTTCTGAAGATAGTTCCCTAACCCCCAAGTTTTCTTAGGGGTTAAGAAACACTCTCTAGAAAATGCTCCTCTCAATGGAGTAAGTACTGCCATCACTTTTAAGGGTAGAAAACTGAAAGTTCAGAGTGCCTAGGATCCATGATGCTCTGATCTATTTATATCCAGAGAATTAAGGCATTTCTGAGATTTCTTAGCAAAGGGTCTATCTCTGGGAGGGCTGTAAAAGGCAAGTCTGACCTTGCCCAGTTAATCAGGCATGGCACTATTTGGACAGCAGGGGCTTGAGAATCTCTCTTGGAGCTGGAGCAAAGTCCTAACACGAGGCAACAGGAACGAACATGGGCACCAGGGGAGGTGAGGGAATTAGTAAATCCCCAAAGAGACTTTTGTTCTTGAAAGGAGCTAATCTGTACAAAAAGTTTATGGTTCCCTTTCCTAGGGTGAGTGAGGGCTCAAAGTACTTTTGGAAACAGAACCCAGAAACAGTTTTCTGGGAAGTCATTTGTTTTATGAATCAATATTCAGAAATACCTAATAAATTAGAGGCTTGGGGAACCATGCTTCTACCACCTGAGAGATAAAAAGATAACAGCCATCACTAATCCTGATCCAGATTTAGAGGAAAATTACTTTTGAAGAAAGTGTTCATATTCATAATATCCTGAAATCTCAAATCCTTTTTCGGAGTCATGATGATTTTTATGCTTCCCAGTGGCCATTTAAATACAGTGATCATGTGTTCTGGAGCCACTGTGGTTAAGTCTCAGTCTCTGGTTCTGGGTATATGAAGTGGAACTGATAGCAGAATCCATTTGAAAGAGTGGTGAATTTATTCACGTGTTCAGTCATTCACACAATTGCTCATTCAAATTTTAATTATGCATCTATTATGTACAAGACATAGCCTTGGTGCTGGAAATACATTACAGATATAGATGGTCCTAACCTTCATCGAGTTTGCAGTCTAGTGAGTGAGTCAAAAAAGAAGTAACTAGTTACAAAATTAATTATTTAGAGGATTTTAAAAAATACAGTTGCAATGTGTGCTATAAAGCAGAAATCAGGATGTCATAAGACTATATAATAGGAGGACATGATTTGTCAAAGTCAAGTTGTTGAATAGATTAGGTAAGACAATGTATGTAAAGTGCTTAGTGCAATGCTTGGCACACAGTAATTAAGCACTCAATAAATGATACCTGGTATTACCCACTTTTGCACATATTTTAAATTCAGTTCCAGATATAACATCTTTAAGCGTTCTTACTCAGCTTTAGGATATTGAATGGAAAAAGAATGATATACATACATTATCATTTAGCAGTTTCTCTTTTTTTATACCTCTATCATCTCCTACTAATCTACCCAAGCAGCAGGTGGCTGGCTGGCAGTGATCTGAATGGTTGAGACTGGAGTCCTAACTCTACCCAGAATAGATCCCCCTTCCTATGACTCTTTAGTTTCTAAGGATGAGTCAGAAGAAAACCAAAAAGCAAAACAAAATTTGAAAATTTTCCCTTAAGGGAAGCATTTCAATTTCTGGCTTCACCATTTTTCCCCCCAACTTAAAGAAAAAAAAATCTTTCTACCACTTACCTATTCTAAAAGCTGGAAAAAAAAGTATTTTACTTTCTTAACAGTAGTCAAGTAGTTACAGTTAATTCAACCAATGTTCTTCTTTGAGCCAAAACATATTTGTTTTCAAAGAGCCTCCCAACACCCCCCTTTTTTTTGAGACAGGGTCTTACTCTGTCACCCAGGCTGGAGTGCAGTGGCATGATCCCAGCTCACTGCAACCTCTGCCCCCCAGTTCAAGCAATTTTCCTGCCTCAGCTTCCCGAGTAGATAGGATTACAGGTGCCCATCAGTGCGCCTGGCTAATTTTTGCATTTTTAGTAGAGACGGGATTTCACCATGTTGGTCTCAAATGCCTGACCTCAGGTGATCGGCCCGCCTCGGCCTCCCAAAGTGCTGGGATTATGGGCTTGAACCACCACGCCCGACCTCAGAGAGCCCTGTATACGAACCTGCTATCAGGTAAGAACCAAAACTGCTATCAGTTGTCTAGATTGCACTAATATGTGGATACAACATGGCTGACAGAGCCAGACTAAGATAATGTATTATTACTTCTAAAAACACAGTAGAAAGGTTATTGCTGAACTAGTGACATTTACTCATTTATTCTTTGAATCCATACTTATTTCTGCCACAAAGTAACAAACTTATGATGACAATTGAGATAGCATTGATTCTTCCTAGAAAAATAAAGAGAAACCCAAAACATATGTACAAACTCCCTTGAACAGAGTTTCTAAAATATTTGTAATTGTCAGTATACTCTAAAGCCCAGAGTCATAATTTAAATAAACAAGAACAACCAATAACCTACTAAAGTAGTCCTGAGATCCCAGATCTAGCTTCAACCCTAAGTGGTTAAGTGACCAATTTTTAATTTATCCAACTGTAAACTGTAACAGATTCCCTCTTTCCTCATGCTCTCTCTTTCCCCCAACTACCACCAGAAAAATCTTATGCATAAATGAGATAATACCCAAAAGGGTTGTTTCTAGGTAGAAAAGTAGTATGAAGTACAATATAACTTTACTATGGGATGTTATCTTGTTTCATTATTTTCCAAAATCAAAATATAACATAATGAATCAAGAATCCACAATCTATCCCACAGAACATGTATGCATATGTTTTATGGTTCAAGCCTGATTAAGCTTTACCTCCCAACAGCTGTGATACTGTGGGTTACTGCTAGGAGAAGAAGCAGTCAGAACCCTGACTGAATTAGTCCTACTAGGCTATTTTAAGTCAGGCAACTCCTCTTGGGCCTAACCTATCCATTTGGTAATGGAAATAGCAGTAGGGACCTGTGTGTCACGTTATAGTAGACTTCACTGGTGAATAACACTCTAGAAATGTGTAACAAGCTGTTAGCAACCCAAATACAAATAAAACTTTGTTCTTTGGAAAAATCTGAAAATATCTCAAACTTTATAAGAATTGTAGATTTTGGGGAAAAAAAGAACCAATCGTGAAGAAGGGACTCCTGTCTTCTCTCCTCAGCCTTAACCAATTAGCTCACTGCAAAGACAGTTTATTCGGAAATATATCACTGAGAATGGTCTTACTGAAAAAAGAGTTTTGATTCATTTGTTTTTATGAGGTTTTCTCCTTAGGGAAAGAGTTTTTAGAAGTTTGCTTCTTATAAAATAGTTTCATGGATTAATGCAGCACTTTTCAACCTGGGTTCTGCTAGAATTAAGTCCTAATACTTTGAAGCATCCATTGTACATAATGATAACTTCTCTCCCACGCGACTGGAAAGGTACTAGTTATGTATCATCTTTTCAAGAATTAAGAAAAGTCTATAAAATTATTTTCTGTGTTCTGTGATTCAGATGAAGATCCCTGGTTAAGAAAAGCTGGTAGAGGTTCCTAAATGAAAGCATGGCAAAACTTAGTACTAGGATCTTTAGGAAGGGAGAGGAGGCTACAGCCTATGTAAACCTCTATGTATCTTCAGCAAGACAAGCACTCTGGATAGGAAAGTATCTTTTTTGAAATCTCATAACCTTCTTTTGTTGTTCACCCACACTGAGTATATGAGAGACCTCAACAAGGGTATAAAAATATAATGTCTCTGAACACCTTTCATCAATATTTATTTATTGAGTACCTCTTACATGTCAAACACAGTTCTAAGTGCTGGGAATAAAGCAATGTAAAACAGAAAAAAAAAATCTCTGCTCTCATGGATCTTGCATTTAAGTAGAAGGAAAAAGACCAAAATATATTAGTAACATATATATTTTATATGATAAGGTGCTACGAAAAAAAATTAAGGAGGAAAATTTGATAGGGAATGTTGGGTGGGGTTCTGTATAGTATTTATTTCTAATGAATTAATTTTTAATTGACAACAATTGTACATATTTTTGTGTATTAACATGATGTTTTGAGATATGCACACACTGTGGAATGGCTCAACAGAGATAATTAACATATGCATTATCTCATATCCCTATCATTTTTTGGTGGTGAGAACACTTAAAATCTGTTGTCCTAGCAATTTTCTAGAATACAACACATTGTCATTAACTATAGTCACCATGTTGTGTACAATTTAAAAGAGTAGCCAGGATAGAATTCATGAGAAGCTGATAATTTTTGATGAAGAACTGAAGGAGGTAAGGTAGCCAGCCATGCATGTATCGGATAAAAGGCATTCCAGGCAGAGGGAACAAGTACAAAGGTCTTGAAGCAGGAGAGTGCTTGGCACATTTCAAAGTAACAGTAGGAGGCTAGTTTGGCCAGGATGAAATGAACATTACAGGGAGGAAAGAGGTTTGGGAAAGTAGAGAAGTGAACAGAAATGTAATGTAGGCCACTGTAAGAACTTTAGACTTTACCAAGAGTGAGACTGGGAAGGCACTGGAAGGTTTTAGGCAGTGAAATGATGTGACATGACTTATTTTAAAAGAATACATTTGGCTGTAGTGTTGAGAACAGACTGAAGATGGGTAAGGTTGGAACTAAGGAGCTCAGTTTTTAATACATGAGAGGTTTGAGATGTCTATGAGCTGGGTGCCATGGCTCATGCCTGTAATCCCAGCACTTTGGAAGGAGGATTGCTTGAGGCCAGGAGTTCAAGACCAGCCTAGGCAACAAAGTGAGACCCCCATCTCTACAAAACAGTTTTTAAAGATTAGCTGGATGTAGTGGTACACATCTGTAGTCCTAGTTACTGGGGAGGCTGAAGTGGGAGGACTACCTGAGCCCAAGAGTTTGAGGTTACAGTGAGCCATGATTGCACCACTGCATTCCAGCCTGGACAATAAAGCAAGACCCTGTCTCTTAAAATAAAATAGAATAAAATAAAAAGAGATATCTATAAAATATTCAAGTGAAAGGACTGAGTAGGCAGTTATGTATATAGCAGAGAGATTTGAGCTGAGGATAAAATATGAGCATCAAACACCAATACATGGTATTTAAACCTGTGAGACTGAATGAGTTCATCTAGGGAGAAAGTCCAAGGGAAGAAGGGAAGAGGTCCAAGGATCAGTCTTTGGGGCTTTCCAGTGTTAATTTCTATAGTTATTAAAATTTTTTTTTTATTAAAAAAAATTTATTTTTTGAGATGGAGTCTCCTCTGTTGCCCAGGCTGGAGTACAGTGGCACAATCTGGGCTCACTGCAACCTCTGCCCCCCAGGCTCAAACAACTCTCATGCCTCAGCTTCCTGAGTAGCTGGAATTACAGGTGTGCGCCACCACACCTGGCTAGTTTTTATATTTTTTGTAGAGACAGGGTTTCACCATGTTGGCCAGGCTGGTCTTGAACTCATACTTCAGATGACCTGTCTGTCTTGGCCTCTCAAAATGCTGGAATTACAGGTGTGAGCCACTGTGTCCAGCCTAGTCATTTAAATTATAATGCATGCTGAAAATGGGCCTCAAGTTCTCATTGACATATATTTGCATATATATCATCTCATATTTAGAGAGTGGTGAGTCAGTTCCATTACTCTTGGCTTTTCATTCGATGCACATGGAGCTCTTTTTCTACCATTTTATATAACTTTCCATTGTCTGTATTATGAATATGCCAGGAGCAAGAGTTTTCCAGCATCACACAACAAATCAAACATGGATCAAAGACTAGAAACTAGGTCTCTCCTAACTCCTAGTCCAAGAATCAAGGTAGTAGGCATTTCTATTCAGAGTCTGTTTAAAAGGGCTTGACAACCATTCACTCAAAGGGGAAAAATAAAAAAACAAAACAAGGCAACAGTGCATGTGATGCAGCTGCTAAAGAAGCAAACATTTTAGGTTTCATTTTAAAATCACGAGTTTACAGAACTAACACTAGTTCAGATCATTGAGAATATTGTGTTGATAGGCATAATATTTTAAAAATAATACCTAATCTGAAACAGGTCCAGATGAGGGTAACCAGGGCAGTGGGATAACCCTAAATCAGGCAACCAAAACTAGCAAATTGTAAATAAAATCTTTAAATCCAGGGATTATATAAGAACTTAACAGGAGATAAATTATAGTAAGTCGCACACCATGGTTTAAAATGCTCTCAGAGAGGTCAGCAACCCGTGGGAAGCTGAATGAGATCTTAAGTTCTTTTTCATTTCCAGGATGTTTTGACTCCCTGCTCCTAAACTTAATATCGTTAAATAGATATATTAGGTTTACAATTTTTGACTTATAAAAAGGGTAATTTCATATAGTTTAATCTAAAAGGTCTAAATTTACCAGGATGATACCAGTCCATATCATTCACCAAAAAGCTATGCCAAGCCACTATGCGCTCACTTAGAAACCAAGGGCATCAATTACTCTCTTCCAAGTAAATAGATCTTTTTAAAATACCCTCCCTGCCTATGGGGGTTGGGTGGGATGGCAGGCATTCATTACCTCTGCAGGAACACAGTTGGATATGTATATCTAGTTTGTAGGGGAGAGATTGAGCTGGAGTTAAAATTTGGTATTATTATTATTCAGTATCAATCTTTAGATAACATGCACAAACCCACAGCTTAAAATTTACAATTCACATTTTTCACAATTATTATGGTTTCCAGAGTTACATTAACCAGTTCATGAATTTTCAACACTGCTTATTTCAGCAGAATAAGATTAAGATAGGTTTCCCAGCCAGGCACAGTGGCTCATGCCTGTAATCCCAGCACTTTGGTAGGCTGAGGAGAGAGAATCACTTGAGCCCAAAATAATTGTAAATTTAGGCAGGCATGGTGGTGGGTGCCTGTGGTCTCAGCTACTCAGGAGACTGAGGTGGGAGGATTGCTTGAGTCCAGGAGCTCAAGGCTGCAGTGAGCTGTGACCATGCCACTGCACTCCAGCCTGGGTGACAGAGTGAGACCCTGTCTCAAATCTTGTACTACCCCTTGTAGTACAAGATTCTGTACCTTTAGACAAAAATCCATAGGAAGTGATGTCATATGCTTTATATCATTCACTGTTATTGCGGGGGGGAAAGTAAAAAGAGAAATGTAAAAAGTATATAATCTACCCAGCCTAAAAGCTACAGTTTCTCAAACAACTGTTCTTCAACTTTATATAACAAATATTATTTTCCTATTTGTACAAAGAACAAATAAAATTTCAGGTCATGACAAAAATTTTCTACTGAATATTACTATTTATAATGTGAAGAGGTAACTAGGGCAAACACTCGGCTCCCTACCACATCCCAACACAAGAACAAAATAAACTAACTCCACATTAAATCAGATTCATATTAGGCAGCGTTTAGCACAAATGGCTGATGCCTTCAAGGGGTCCTACATAGTAACAGCTCAACTGGCATTCAATGATAACTCAGTCCCAAGGCACATGTATTTGAATTAATGCTAATGCAACAGATAGAAGGAGTAACAAGAAGTCCAATGTCACAGCTTAGGAGAGAAGGCAAAGGGATCACTTGCTTGAGCTAGCTACAGTGTCTTCATTATTTCTTGGGGCAATTGAGGTTTCCCTGTTAATTTGCAAGTATCAGATGGAGAGATGAAGAGCTTTTTTTTTTTTTTTAAAGGAAGAAAAAAAAAAAAACCCACGAATATGTACACATACTGTTTAGGAAAGGTCATCAGTGAACTACATATTCCCACCCTTCTGAGTAGATTAAAGAATTCAATTTCCTTAATCATTCTCTTCTGCTTCTATTGGAAGAGGAGGCCTCTATTAAGCTCCACTCTGAATTTCCAAGAGAAATGCAAAGCTTCTACCCAGAATTTTAGTCTAAATTTTGACTCAAAGTATTTATTCAAAGCACAGTCTTGCTCTTGCTTAATTAGCCTTGGATAGACAGGAGGTCCCATTGAGTTGGTACTTATTAGCCTCAACAGCTGGGTCTACAGCAGCTCAGTACTCACCCGAGCTGTAGCTGTCAGTAGATGACTGAGAAATGGAACGAGACAGAGAGCGACGTCCAATTTTGGTGGGACGTTTGTTGAATTCTTGCTTCTGGTCAGCAAACTGGATCTGCTAAGAAAAAGAAAGCTAGTTATATAAAGAAAAAGCACCTCCATTTTGACACAGCGATTCAAGGCTTGGTATTACAGGCTCTCACCTTTCCCAACAGTTGATCTTATTGTATCAATCCATATTTGGAATGTTAAGACTCTTTGAAGAGAGGAATACTTTTTCATTGTTTTTTTTTGTTTTGTTTTTTTTTTGTTTTTAAATAGAGATGGGGTCTTTCTATGGTGCCCAGGCTGACCTTGAACTCCTGGGTTCAAGCGATCCTCTCACCTCAGCCTCTCACACAGCTGGGACTACTGTGTCTGGCGATATTTCATTCTTTACCTACTGTGTTTCTAATCAAATTTAAATCTTTGATACACTCTTTTTTTTTGTTTTGTTTCTGAGACAGAGTCTCACTCTGTCACCCAGGCTGGAGTGCAGTGGCACAATCCCGGCTCACCACAACCTCTACCTTCTGGGTTCAATCAATTCTCCTGCCTCAGCGATCTCAGCTCACTGCAACCTCCACCTCCTGTGTTCAAACGATTCTCATGCCTCAGTACCTCGAGTTGCTGGGATTACAGGTGCACACCACTATGCCCTGCTCATTTTTGTATTTTTAGTAGAGATGGGGTTTCACCATGTTGGCCAAGCTGGTCTCGAACTCCTGACCTCGAGTGATCCACACACCTCAGCCTCCCAAAGTGCTGGGATTACAGGCATGGGCCACTGTGCCTGTATATGTGCCACTCTTTGACTATATGCTTTTTGCAATAAAATCATGACACCTCTCTCCCCCCAAATAGAGAATGGGACATTCTGGTTAAAATAAATTTTGAGAAAGTTGAGTCATATTCAACTATTTTCTACAGTTTCGCTGAAAAGTAAAGCTGGAAAAAATCTTTGAGACTATCATATTTGTAACCTCTGTATATCTAGATGAGAAAATTGCAAGGTACAGAAAGGCAAAATGACTTGCATTCAGGTTTCAAGAATCTCAGGAAATGGTATGATTTAATAATTTTTAAAGAGGCTCTTCATTAAGAATGAACATTCTGGAACTGCATTCAAATTCTGGCCATGCCACTCATTAGTTGTGTGATGTTGCTCAAGATGCTTTAGTGAGTCTCATTTTTCCACAAATACACAGAGATAAAACTACTTATACCTCATAGGTTTTAGAGAGGGTTCAATGAGACAATGCATGTAAACTGAAACATAGCAGGAAATTCAACAAATCCACTCCCCACCCAACCCCTACAGTTCAATGCTCTCGTAACTCTCACAGGTAGCCACTCTAATTTGTTAAAGCTTTTCTAAAATATATTAGATAGCTTTCCAGTACTAGTAAGTAAATACCAGTTTTTTGGTATTTTATACTATAAAATACCTAAAAGCAGTAAGATTCATCTTTATAATAGATGTAGAAGCAGCAGAGTAATTGACTGAGTATGTATAAACCCCAGATCATACTCTGGAGGTTGCACTTTGGATGAAATCTGATAACGATTTTCTTACAATTTTATCTTTCTTCTATTGTTGGAGGTTCCAGCTGATACTTCATAATACTTTACAAATCAAAGGTCATTTGTAAGCTATACTTGTTTGGGGAAAAAAAGCTCATATAATTTATTCAACTAATAACTTTTCTTTTTCTCTGTTTGCATAATTGCCTATTCTGGATCCAACGTGGCACAGAGGAAGGTCTAATGAAAAAGATCAAAGACCTGACAAGTGACTCTACCTTTAATGATAAAAAGATGGTTCCTTGACAGGCAGAACATACAGTACACCCAAATGAATGCAGGAACTGATGGCTCCACTTCCTGCAGTTAGAGGTAACTAATGAGTCACTTGAGTACTGCAACAAGGGACCACTGCCAAATGGAATTAGCTTCACATTGCCTTTTACGGGAATTCATAGCATGTTCATAGCTACAACAAATAAAGCCTGCAAAGTGCTTTAGGACTTGCAATTTTTTTTCAGCAATAGGAAAACTCATCAGATTAGAAGCTCTTCTCAAACAAAAGAAAATGACAAAGATGATTATTTTGCTCAACTAGCAATTTATTCCAAAAAAAAAAAGTTTCCTTTCTATGTACTCCCATATGACGTACATGAACTTTCATGTATTGCATTTCTCCTAGCACAGCGCTTATCACAGTGAATGTAACTATCTGTCTACCCACCTGTATTTTCTATAAACTTCAGGCTCCATGAAGGGAGAAGCTGTGATTCTTATTCACCCTTATATCCTCAGGCACAAATCCTAGGCACTCAATGAAGTGCTAAATCAATATATCGGAAGTAGCCTATTCTATCTTTACTGTCTACACTTGGTTGAATATTCAGTAAACATGGTAAACATAAACCAAGTCAAAAGTTAAAATATTTTTTAAGGGCAAAAAGAGCTAGATAGAAGAAGAGGGAGAGTGGAAAGGTGGGCAGGTGGACAGTAGTCAGGCTGCAAACTGTGGCTTCCATTTCACCAACCTTGTTCAAAACAGTCGTATGTCTTTATTCTTTTTTAGAAGCCCATCTAGGAAAAGGAATAATAATAGCACTTTTCAAAGGCCACACTGAGTCACTAACTTTTCCAGTGTACCCTTTAAAGAAGAATAAACTCTGTTTCAGATGCTCAACACGATCCCAACACAACCACATCTGTGTACACGCCCGTCTGGGTGCATATGCACACACACCGTGTACACATACCACTAGAGGGGGCCAGTCACTCTTATTCTCTAGATTTGTAGGATCAGAGTGAATAAACCATATAGCTATCTAGCTGCACTATCACCTCAAACCAGTTTCTCTGAGCTGAGCTGTCTTCTCCATAGCGTTTTCTATTTACAGTAATCCCTCCTTCCCAGGACAAGTTCATGCTGTCTTTTGGTACCAAAGAGGACTAGGCTGTGCAAGGCTCTCGCCATTTAGAACACAGGGTTCTAAAACCTTGCTTACTGGTTAGACACTGAATTCAAGTTTCTTTAAGACAGAAAAATATTAGAGCAAGACTAACCACTTAAATATGAGTTACACAATTTTCCCAAGAAACAAGTATCTTTCTCTGATAACCAGAACATGAGTCAAGTGGCTCCCTGGTGCCTGCCTCCCCTCAATATTTAAATGCCATTATATCCTTCACTCAGCAGTCCATTTCGTAAGGGATTGGTTTTGTAATCTACCCACCCCAGTTGTGGTACCTTAGTAGATTCTACCCCTAACTTTCCTACCTTGTCTGGAACCAGAGTCTTTTAAGGTAATCCTTCTTTTCCATTTGAGAGAGAACTACCTAATTCCAACAGGCATTAAGGCAAGGGAGGAAGAGACTGCTAAAAGAGGTGTAGCTCACCTTATGCCAGAGGGAGGGCTGAAAGCAGGAAAGGAGGGAAAAAGAGTATAAGCAGCTGGCCTTTTACAACAACGGCTATAGCAGCAGCAAGACTGGTAAATAAGAGCTTAGCCTCACCTGGGCTTTAATCCCAGAGTTGCCATTAACAATGTATTTCTTCTTGCTGCCCAGCATAGTGACATAACCAGCCCCACTGCCACCTCTGTGGTCCAGGGACCCTTGTGATCAGGCCTTTAAACTTTCCTCATCAGCAATTCTGTTGGCTCTGGTTCCAGCCAGCTTTTTGGGCTGGGGGGTGGGGGACTACTCTTCCTTGGAATCCCTGAAGCAGCTCCAACAACCCCTTCAGCAGTCCAGCCCCAATTTAATAAGGCATTTCTGGTAGTGGCGCATCAGCCATTCCTAATTCTGGTGGCTGTTTTGCTTTTATTTATTTTTTTCCTAAACACCTAATTACATGGATCCTCTGACCTCTAAACCTCAGCAAGTCCCTTGACAAGGCCCAACTTGCATGCGCATAACAATAGCTTATTTATATAACCACTGCACTTTTTTGCTTGCTATAATTAACTTGCTAATTAGGTTCCTTTTTAACCTTACCTCCTCCTTTTCCACGTCAGATGATTTTAGTTAACCTAGTCTCATTAGAAAAAAATTAACTACAGAGCCACTAAAACAATGAGAGACTTTATTAAAAGAGTAAGGAAAAAAAATTAATGGTGCCAAGTACTCAGGCAGTCCCTACCCTACACTCTGTGTCCTTGGATTAGCCAGACTGGGGACACTGATTTCAGCCCTGTCACCAAGGAAATCAGTTTTCTCAATTCACTGCCTTCTTCTGAATTGTGCATCTTTTACACAGGTTTTGACATTTGGTTTCTAGTCCCAGCTCAAGATTGTTGCTGATTTGGCATAGGGTGACCCAGTTTGCTTTCTTCACAAAATGTGTGCTCAAGGAAGGTATGACTACAAAGGGAAGCTTCTTATCTCCTCAGAGTCCCCAGAATCACAACAACCTTACGACATACCAAATATTCAGGCAAAAGGGCAAAGCATCACATTACTTATTTGCTGATTTCTGAAAGAGAGAGTGAAGAAGAAAGCTACACTTAACTGTCTGCTACAGAGATTGAGGGGAAAGCGATGTGACTTCTTCCTTAAAAGACTGCTTGTTGAGCACAGGAAGGGACATAAAATGGTAGATTCTCTTTTTTTTTTTTTGAGATGGAGTTTTGCTCTTTTTGCCCAGGCTGGAGTGCAATGGCGTGATCTCAGCTTACTACAACCTTTGCCTCCTGGGTTCAAGTGATTCTCCTACCTCAGCTTCCCAAGTAGCTGGGATTACAGGCACGTGCCACCACACCCAGCTAATTTTTTATATTTTTAGTACAGATGTGGTTTTTACCATGTTGGTCAGGCTGGTCTCAAACTCCAGATCTCAGGTGATCCACCCACCTCAGCCTCCCAAAGTGCTGGGATTACAGGCATGAGCCACCACACCTAGCCGGCAGATTCTTTTTTTAAGGATAATCTTTATTTAGAGAGAAAAGGTCATATTGCATACTGTTACTGACTTCTCTGGACGAGAAAGTTTTGGTAAGTGCCTATATTCACAGTTCTGTGTATGTTACTTCTATTATTTGTACAAAAATCTTAAGACGTATGTAGTATTATTCTCACTTGACAAAGCAGGAAAAAGTAACTCTGAGAGAACACATGATTTGTCCAAGGTCTCACAGCAAGTAAGCAATGGGACTGGAATTCAAGCCTGTGTTTATGCCAGAGCCAAAGCTCTTATCTACTATATCATACCTTATGATATTAATCAGAAGACCAAAGAACTCCCCTGGCCCTAATCCTAGATGTACTAGCCCCAAATCATTTCTTTTATCTTTAAATTTGTTTAACTTAAAATTATTCTTTAAATTCATTTTCATATCAGATTACATCTTAGAAATGACATCATCCAGATAATCTTGGGGCCCTGATCAAGTCACCATTCAAAAACACCTAATTATATAAGAATTTGAACTCAGCTCTTTAAGTGGCAACTTTGCCCAATGCCACTACCAGAAATGGAAACAGAAATTAATTGAACTCAAACATGGATGTTCACCATCACCCACAGCAATTCTGATCTCTTACTCATCATTTCACAAAATGAGACAGATCACTTGCTTGCTTGATGAATCTCTAAACTTCTGCTTCTTCTAACAAGAATGTCTACCCTAGTACACCTGTACTAAGCTGGTTCCCGTTTCCCTCATTCAGGTAAAAAGAAACTCCTTGGTCCAATGACTGAAGTCAGATAACCTGAGCCAGAAGGACTGGCACAGCTATACCAAATATAACCAGAAGACATTTTAAGATAGTGACAGGAAAAGCCTTACCACTTAATAAGTTTTTTATCGATTACAGTAATTCTCAAATTTTTGCTGCGTCAAAATCACCTGGAGAGCTTATTAAAGCACATTGCTGGATTTTAACAACCAGAGTTTTTGACTTATTAGGTCTGGAGGGGACCCATGCTTTTCTATTTTGTAATTAAAAAAATTTTTTTGTCAGCTTCCAACTCTCTGGTTGAAGATTCTGTGTTTTGAGTAAGTCCCAGGTTTTGAGTAAGTCAGCCGGGTGGCGCTGATGCTACTGGTCTGAAGACCACACTTTGAGAACCACTGCTCTAACACTTTCTCCAAGCATGAGTAAAGCAGCCTTGATTCTCTTGACTTTCCTTAACCGACCATTTTATCCTATCCATGGCTATAACCATGGATGCACCTTCACAGGCAGAAAAGTAAAGGTTATTTGAAAGGTCAGATAACACAATGAGGTGATCCTTTCTTTTCTTTTCTTTTTTTTTTTTTTGTGAGACGGAGTTTCGCTCTTGTCACCCAGGCTGGAGTGTAATGGTGCAATCTCGACTCACTGCAAACTCCGCCTCCAGGGTTCAAGTGATTCTCCTGCCTCAGCCTCCTGAGTAGCTGGGATTACAGGCGCACACCACCACGCCTGGCTAATTTTTTTTGCATTTTTTAGTAGAGATGGGGTTTCACCATGTTGGTTAGGCGGGTCTCAAACTCCTGACCTCGGGTGATCTGCCTATCCTGGTCTCCCAAAGTGCTGGGACTACAGGTGTGAGCCACTGTGTCTGGCTGAGGTGATCCTTTCTTTACCCCCAACACAGGAGCTAAAGAAAACTGGGTCTAATTCTGATTTCCATAACTTAAGGCTCTTAAGAAGAGATAGGTAATACATTAAGAAAAATAGGACCCATGGAGAGGATAGAAGATCTGTTTATCCTAAAGAGGGTCAGGCCAAGAGAAACCAATTAATTCCTTTTAAAGTACATAAAGTAATACTATAAATGATGTGTCTGTATCTCTACTTTTTTTTTTTTTTTTT